AACAAAACAAATGTTTAAAAAATTATTTTGTTTAACTAGTAAACTTCAATTTTAGCAGCAATTGTTTAAAAAAAAATGCAAAGAAAAATCTCTAACAATAAATTACAAGAAAAAGAATATCTATGCCTATTGGCTCTTTCGTTTTGCTTAGAACATAATTTGTCTTAGAATTTGGCTTGCAAACTTTAAAATCAACTATTAAAATGTGACACTACTTTCTCCTGTTAATTGCTTCCGGTGTATTTAGAAAGAAAAAAGTGCTTCACATGTAGCAGGTACAATGGGTGATTTGAGGAAGTGGTAAACAAAATTCACCTTTATTAGCACTCAAAGCCATGACTGCAATGAAATGTGGGTACCCTTAGACAAGTTCCAAGTCCATGAAGGCGTAGGAGGATGTTTCCCTTCGGCGAAGCCTAGCACAGCCCTCCCGCATATTCATCTTCCTCCTCGGCAGCGGGGGCAGTGGTGCCTTCAGGCTTGGCCTCCGGTGTTGCTGCGGCTTTCTTCTTGATTCCTCCTCCTGGGACCACCAAAGTCAGGCCCAGCTTAGCGTACTGTCAATGACAAAGCAATGTCTCAAAAGCTGGGTAACTAGAATCTCCGCATGTAATGTCTCAACAAAAGGCAGATCCTAGCTTTCTACCTCATGAAAACCAACACTACCATTTAGATTAGCCGTTCTCAACCTGTGGGTTGCGACCCCTTTGGGCGTCGAACGACCCTTTCACAGGGGTCGCCTAAGACCATCGGAAAACACATATATAATTACATATTGTTTTTGTGATTAGTCACTATGCTTTAATTATGTTCAATCTGTAACAATGAAATTGGGGGTCACCACAACATGAGGAACTGTATTAAAGGGTCGCGGCATTAGGAAGGTTGAGAACCACTAATTTAGATGGAAAAACAACCACAGGAAAACTCAACATTGCTCTGCCCTCAGATGGCTTACAACCATAATGTGACAGGTACACAACTAGCACAAATGTCAATTATACACTTAGGAATGAGATAATCGGGACATGGTGAGTTAAGTAACACTTATGGTTCCTATGAAATAAAGTCTTTGAGTAAATGAAGAGTGTAAGCTATGGACAAATTTTTAAAAAATATTCACAAAAGCCTATTAAGAATTTATCGAGAGAAATAAAGGTTTCTCTATATACATTGTGATAAAAAATTGAAGATCTTAAGCTGATCTGATACCATAACACTGAAGTTGCAAAACGAAATCAAGTTAACTGGTGCTACCCAGCTTGCGGGGCTCACTGGTTGAACATTGACCTATGAACCAGGAGGTCACGGTTCGATCCCCAGTGTGGGGTGTGCAGGAGGCTGCCGATCAATGATTCTCTCTCATTACTGATGTTTCTCTCTCTCTCCCTTCCTCTTTGAAATCAATAAAAATATATTTTAAAAAATTGGTGCTCACCAATCTACTGAAAAGGGAAATCTGAAAGAAGAGAAGCCTACTGCCATGGCTCACATCTGTACATGGCAGCACATGAGGCTGTTTTGAGAACACGGTCTAATCTACTCATCACCATAGTTTGGCAAGACAGAGACCAGCCTCTCCATTTCTCCAGATGAGTGGTTCTTAGTAGCCTCTAACTACTGAGGCTTACAGTAGTTAATTAATAACCTGCATCACACAGTTAGTCGTCACTGAAGTGGAATTCCAACAAGTCTACTGAATTACAGGCCACTACATGATGGGTCTCTTTCAGACAGTGAGTCTAAATTTAAAAACTAAGCAACCTATAGAAACCAACAAATGAAAGCTGGAAAAATGGGGCTGAATTAAACAATATATATATGGTCAACACAGATAGAGAAATAACTGGCTTAAACTTATAGGGTTGACATTCAAACAACCCAAACCTATAATGAAAAAGTGCATATGCGAAATGAGAAGTATCTTGAGGTAAAAAAATAGGAGAAAAATCTCAAAGTCCATAAGAGAGAGAATCTTGTTGGAAGCCTCTTCCATTATAGAGGAAAGAAGCTAAGGCAAAGGCCACTCACATCATTGTCCATGTACTTGAAGAGGGGCGAGTTGCAGACCTCTGACACTTGATCTTGGTCTTGCTGGTCATAGCCCTCAAGCAGCTGTTCCAGGGCAGCACAGTCTTCACTCCCATTGAACCCTGGAATGCTACAGCAAGCACAAGTCACACAGCTCTGCCTGCTCCCTCTCAACCAGGTGCATCTGCCCCCAGCAGAGGTTTGGCAACATCTGGAGACGTTTTTACTTGTTACAAGTGGGCAGGGGGCAGGGACGATGCTAGATAATCTACAATGCACAGGACAGGCCTGGCAACGAAGAATTGCACAGCCCCAAGTCAACCGTGCCCAGATGGAGACTGCTCATTTAAACATCTCTGACAGGAAAACCCCTTATTCAGATCTTCCTGTTACATACGTTCTGAAAATTTTCCTTTTTGTGTTGTTGTTCTTTTTTCCTTAGAACGCAAATATAATAAAATCATCCATGTCATTCACCTCCATGGAAGTCCCCAGGAGAAAACACAAGAAAGAACATAACTTATAAAAATCCTGCTGGAAAAGCTGAAATAGTAGTCAAGTGCTTCTGTCACTATGAAATTTATTTTATTTTTTTTTTAAAAAAAACCATCCAGTTTCACAGCCAGGATTATTGTCTAAGCAGTCACCTCACACTAACAGAAATGTGGACGTTCCAAGTCAGGACAGCGCAGTCAGCGCCTTACCTGTAGCTCTCCCTGACACATCTTTCCGCAGCCACGTAGTCATTTCTGTGAAGGTGAACTAAGACTTGAGCAATTGTTTTCTAAAACAAAAGATGTGATTATGGTCCAAATTTATATCTACTTAATAAATTTAATTTCCTGACACCTAGAATTTAACTTTCAGAGTTTTGGTTTTATATAGAAAGATTTATAATTTCTGCAGTGATTTCCACAGGACATCTGAGGAAAAATATACCGAAGTAGACATCTCAAACTCTACTGTGCACACAAATGACCCCGGGGTCTTGTTAAAATGAAGACTTTGAGTCAGTGGGCCCACAGCAAGCCTGAGATCCTGCTGTTACTAACAAGCGCCCAGGTGGCCCTGGTACTGCTAGTCTGAGGACACCACCTCACATTTTAAAGAAAATTTCTTTTAAAAACCTATATAGGTTTAATCTTGAAAAGGGAATTAAAAAGAAAGGGGGGCATAACTCTACTATTATACTTTGGAATTCTTAAAGAGATACTAGGAAAAACTTTAGATAACAGAAACAATGATACCATTTATAAGCCAAGAAAAGTATTAATAAGATTAAAGGTGTGACTGATATCTTCTTGGAAAAATAGCTCTTCAATATTTTATCTCTATTTTTCAGATAACTTTTATTGATCTACCTAGAAGTTCCTTGAATTTTTTCATCTCAATTGTCATATTAAGTCCATCTAGTATTTTATTTCAGATACAGCTATTTTGGTTTCTCATTTGCTTCATTTTTATATTCTATTTAAAAAGCGCTCTCTCCCATTCATTCACCTGTGTTTACCTTTGGCTCACTCGCAATTATGATAGTTGCTGCAAAGCCCTGATCTGATAATCCCAACACCAAGCCATGCGTGGGTGCGCATCAGCTGCCTTTCCCTTGAAAACTGGTCCTACTGTTCTGGTTCTTCCATGCTCAGTCGTTTGGGACTGCACCCTGGACACTGTGACTGTTATGCAGACTCGCCTATCATTCCCGGGAGAGCTGGGTGCTTCCAGCAGGCAGTCACCTAGTCAGGCTCAGACTGCATTTTTGTCTGCGTTTGGTGGGCAGTGGCTCTAGTCTTCGTTCAGTCCCTCAGCTCTGCTGGTGGGCTCTGCCCCACGCATGAGCCTGGCAAGGGTGCTATGAGCCCTGGACAGTGTTTTAATCTTACTGCAGTTCTCAAAGCCTATGTCTGCCTCTGGGTCTGTCCTGCGCAGGCCCAGCTGGAGAGTAAACCCAAGACCTGCGTGCCCTCCCCCCGACCCCCCCACACAGTCAGGGGATTCCCTGTTCCAGCTCCCTTTTCTGGGGTTTTCTCCTTGCTCTCTTAGCTCATCTTCCCAGTTCCTCTGGCCAGAGATTAGGTTTCCATTGGCATTTTAACCGGCCTGTGCCACCACCACAACCGTGGCTCCATGACTAGGTCTTCCCCACAGAGCAAAGCCAAGGGAGGGGAAAAAGAGGAAAACAGGGAGCCTTTTTTCTAACCAGAGAAATCCAGTGCCTCTGGTTAGAAAGATGCGGTAGGTGGGTTCTTTAGGCGTTTCAGCTGCTGGAGCCTCTGTGGCCCAGCTCCATGACTGGGGCTCCTAAGCCAATGCCACAAGAGGAAATAGGAAAAAATCCTGGAAATGCATTCCTCTATTGGTTGCTTCTGCAAGTGTTTACTTCTCTCCATCAATCTGTTCTATTTACTTTTCAAAGTAATTGCTTTTTTTGTATTTTGTCTGGAAGTTTTAGTTGTAATCAATAGGAGAGAGGCTGCAGTAGGCTTATTCCATCTTGGTCAAATAGAGAGTCCCAGAAAGCATTATTTAAGAAAATAGACAAATATCCATGGAATCTGGTTATAGGTACATAGTTGCGCCAATATGAAAAATTATGTCATGGAAAGCCAAAAATAAGCACTTTCAAAATATACCTTATAACAAGTTGGGTAATTCTCAATTTCCTTATAAATATTTTTTTCTTTCTGAATAGAGAGTGCCGCCTCATCAAACCTAAAAACAAAAACAAAGGAATGTCAAACAAGGCAGGTCTAAATGATCGACAGCAGAGGCCATTCTTATAACGTATTTGATAGGACAGGTTTTAGAGAAATAAAGAAGATAACAGGCATTTTGGCAACTGCTCCATTTCCATGAGCTCTACTCATATGGCTTCTTTTAAATGCTCGCCCTGGCCTTTTAGGCATCAAGCAGACAGTCAAAGCAAGAGGAGGTATGGACAGGTTACTTCAAATGGAGAGTTTTAAGTCTGGTAAGGATCATTCATTAATCAGCATCTATCAGATTCAACAAACTACTTTATGACTGTTTATGAAATCTCTTAGAGAGAGACAGCCCTCAATTTAATCACCCCAGATTTCTTTCCTTCCACTGAAAGGCCATCCAGATGCCCTGAGAGCACCGCCTCCCGCTGAAGAACCACTTCTCCCACTCCGCCCTCACTGTCCATGCTCACTGCTGCCTCCGTGACTCCAGCAGCACCCGGTGCTGAAAAGGGCAGCAGTGGAGAGCAGTCGACACTAGAAAAATCCTTCTGCTACCTTTGATCCTCAACATTCATCTTTTTCTGTCTACTCGCACACATTTTTCTTTTCTTCCATCCCATTCACATGTCGGTGTAGAGGAAGGTATCACCAAAAATCTTCCTCTGAGGCCCCATCCCTTTCTTTCCTCCCCAATGCTAATCAGATCTTCTCCCAGCAAAGCTATATTAGACAGGGGTTGGCAAAAGTAGGTGTACAGTTGTGAGTGCCTGAACAGAGTTTATTCTTGCATTATTATTTATTTATTTATTATTGTAGTATTTGTGTTATTTGTCTTCTTATTATTATTTCATATTCTTATTTATGATTTATCTTTCAGGTAATGATGACTGGTACTTTAACCTACTTTTGCCCACCCCTATACTCCTAATTCCAGTACTCCCTTACTAACATTGAACTTGTGACTGGGTGAATTTGAGTCTTCACCTATTTCTCCCATCCCAACAGCCAAAAAGAGGAAGCAGTCTGCACTGTGAGGATATAGAGAGAGAAAGGTGTTGCTATGACTCAAAAGTACAAAAATGTTATGCTATATTTTTCTGTGCCAATCATTACTTTTAAAAAATATTTTCATACAAAAATATACAGTGGCTTGGTTTAACTCACATTATGAATTTGAATTTTTGTGGGCTGTGCCCTGTCAGTTTGCTGCCTCATAAAGTGAGACTCATTAGAGAAATTTATTCTGAATTTCTAAAGATCAACTTGCTAAAATGTGGGAACAAAGCTGGTTTGTAAGTTGGGCATGGTAGCAGAATTCTAGGTCATATATTTAAAGGATAAAAAAGTAAAACCCTATTTAATGACACTATTTGGCTATCAAAAAGCTGTCCATTTTCATGGGGGAGCATTCAGGGCATCTTGTTATTTATGCCTATATGGATATTTCTCCTTAAAAGACAGACATTATAATCTAACCAAATATCAGATCAAGAAAACTGCTCTCTCTCATGCTGCTGAGCCAAAAAGAGTACAACGCCTGGCACTTTTTGAGATTACACCTTAGAAAAATAACAGATCTTTTAATATTTAACTCAATGTGCCGTCTTACAGACATCAATATTTATTGGGTCCCCTAGTGTGTCCTTGACTCACACCAAAAAGCTTAACAAGCTGTTGCCAAAATTACTTAACAGTTCCAACATGAACTAAAGGTATACACGGTCACACATGAACACAGTTTTGGAAAACTCACCTGCGTCCTCGTACTAGCAGTCTGGAGGCTTTTCCTAGTAATTCAACTGCCTGTCGTAAACGTTCCTCATTCTACAGGAATCAAACAAAAGAGAGTGTTGGCAGAGGGATCTTTGTTCCCTCCAATAATTACCTAATAAAAAAGTAATGGCACTCAATATGGTGGTGAGGGGGTAGTGATGAGAGGGTGACACCAAAGCTGCTGGTCCATTTCACCACTCTCTAATAGAGACAAACAGAGTTCAGCTGGGAGCACAGAAAAGGTTTAAAAAGTAGCTGCTACATTTCTCTATTTACATATTATGAATCTAAACATTCTAAGTGTATTTAAAGAAAAAGAAATAAAATTCAAACTTACTTCAAACACATTAGCTGTCTGTTGGTATAACTGTACAGCCTTTTCTGGATTTACATTTTCTATAAGCCTAAATTAGACAAGAAAAATTGACTTATGTGAGAAATGGAAAACTTGTTTTTCAAAGGATTTTATTAGAACAAAAAGATGATGACCCTATGCAGAGCCTGTTGCGCACACTCACTTTCCGGCTCGCTCCAAGGCCATGGCTGCTGTGTCGGGGGTGCCATTCTCCAGATACATCATGCTGGCTTTTTCAATCAGCTGGACAGCCTGTGGCAGTTGCTGCATCTCCTTTAGGCAAAGGACAGAGCGTGATCAGTAAAAGCATCAACTTAAAAATGCAAAGTTAACCTGAAATTCAATTATTGTACTCCTCATTCATAAAAGTAAATGACTCAAACTTTATACAATAAAATATACTTAAAATGAAACGCCTTCTACATGGTTACTCTTCCCATCAGGCTTCATTTAGCCAAACCAAATATGTATCAGTTAATTTCTACACAGAATTCATCATCACTTCACAGAATTTCAGGGAAACTATACAAATAAATTTGCTCTTGACTGTTTTGTAAGCACTCAAAGCCCTTTTAACATCTACCGAGTCCCTATACTGTACACAAGGCCTATGCCAAAGGTGGCAAACTGCATCCCCAGGGCTGCATCTTATTTCCAAGTGCATCTTATTTGAACCATTCTGTATTTTTAAATCAGATAATTTCATAAAAGTTGTTTCATGACTTTCTACGTCAAAAAAATATCAAAGGCTATGACATCAGCCAGCTTACATTCCCACACGGCCATAATACGCTGGGGATGAGCAGGAGCTGTCCTGATGGAGGAATATTACCTCCTGTAGCCTCAATCCTCCCCATTTCCTACTGCCCTACACACCCAGGCCACCTCCTTCATTTCAGTCACTCCATTATGCCCTGAGTTCATCTGAGTTTGCAACCGCCTTCCATGCTGAATGCCATCAACAGCATACTCTGAGGGTCAGTGTCATAACGTAATATGTTCTGTCGCACAACAGAATATTAATTTCCAACCTGTGTTTAAGAAGCAGAAATATAAAAAGGGGCATAGCCACACTAGCCAAAATAGTTCATTCAAGGAGAATCAGTTAAACAGCCAACAGCTTAAATCTTTGGTTCTCTCAATGCCAACTGATATATGTAAAACAAGCAAAAATTTCTCCTCTCTATAACCCATGGGCAGTAAAAAATATGTACTTGTACACTTTTACTACATTAAGCTGTCGTAAATTTCTCAAAAGTAGGGGAACCTCCCACATAGCTCTATTTAGCTTAGCGATACATCTCTCCTGGTTACAAAGCCTAGAACCTTGGGATTCCCAGTTTCCCCCATGTTCTCTCTTAAATTTCACTTTTAGAAATTCCTATTTTATGACACACACATTTTACCTTGTAGGCCCAATTAACATTGCTTTGGACAACATCTGTCACCTTACAAGGAGACTTTTCAACTTCAACATAAATTTACTTCAACGCCATGCAGTTAATTCATTTTACTTATATAACAGTTGTGACAGAACATTACTGACCTTCAACATCATGCCAGCTTGCTCATAAGCTCTGCAAAGAGAATATAATTTCCCAGATGAGATCTTAATGAAACAGGAGGAAGAGAAACCTTCTACTACATATAAAGGAAGTTATTTCACTTTTTTAAAATATATTTTTATTGATTTCACCGGAATCGAACCTGAGACCCTTCAGTCTGGAGGCCGATGCTCTATCCACTAAGCCAAACCAGCTAGGGGAGTTATCTCATCACTTTTAACTGGCTTAGGCACTACACATTACTTTAGGCTTGTATTAGCACACAACATTTTTTTTCTTTTTATTTTCAGAGAGAAGACTGCCTTAGATACATCAGGCAACTAAATGTAAGGGTTTTTATTTAGTAGATGCAAAATTAAGTATGATACAGAATGGGTAAGTGAGCTTCTATTGGACAAGTCTAAATCCAAGTTTTGAAACAAGTACTCTCCACAAAAGCAGGAGAAAGCTTCCTACTTTTCTCCATAGACACATATTAACTATCAAGAAAGAGGGAAACAAATAAATTGTAACTTACTTGGTTTTTCATAAGTTACTGAACAAAATGGTCCTAAAAGGTGAATTTAATTGAAACATTGTATATCTTAGGAAAGCTTAGCTTTTAAGGTTCAGGTAAAGACTAAAACAAATGAAAATGATTTTTATTTAAATCAATACAAAATAATCCACTATTTACAAATTTATAATTTAGGGAAAATTTACTGACCTATGGAAAAACAACATTTAAAACATAATAATCTGCAAACACATGAAAACGTGAGAAAATATTTACTTACTTGGCAGCATGGAAAAGACTGAATGGATGTAACAAAGTCAAAATTAAGGAAAAAAAGCAAACCAAGCAATTCTAAGTATTTACTATTTAAAAGACAAAGGTAACTAAATCATTGCCTTAGTTGTGATCCAAAAGGCAAATCCTACAAACGGGTAAAGAAGAAATAATTTAGTGCCTACTAATGTCTCTTAAAACTACATAATCCACAAGAACACCACATAGATTTTAAACTAGTTCCATTATGCGTTAATCTGAAGAGTTTTACTAAAATTCAAGGTTATTATAACCATAATATTAGCAAGTGAGACAAAATAAACATTTTCAGTATAAATTTTAAATAACTTCAGGAAAATGTATTGTTTTGAACTACTTATAAATTGTATTTCAAACGCCTGAGAAAGACTCTATTTTAAAAATATTTATATAGTAGTTATACATCTCCAATACTTGTGCTACCTCTTCATTCTTCAGTGCCTGTCTACAGATTTTCCTTACCTAATCCCAAATAAAACCATCATCAAGCAAATACAGAAAAAAAAGGAAATAAACTCTCAAATGTAGCTCTGCAAAGCAGTATGAACCTTATGATCAGAAGTCTCTATAAATGCTCCTTCAGAGTTTAAATATGCAGAATTGTTCTAACCGTTTTCTAATTTAATAGCATTGTACTCCACATGTAGCAAATTTGTCAAAATTATCAAATTGTTAAATCCTTTTTAAAGGCTGAAAAAGATACGCCCTGTTATTCTCATGGGCCACAGCTTCTCTCAGGCAGGCATCTTTTGCTTGGTCAAACTGTTTGGCATTCTTAAAAGCAAGAGCTGAAATAAAACAACAGAAAGACTTTCTATTTCCACCACTTAAAATTTTCAAATGAATCATTACCAAAATCTGTATCATATGTAAAGTATTGGAAAACATGTATACTTATTTTAATCAAATACTTAGGAAGTTCCACAAAACTATAAAGTATTACTTTTTCTAAAGCAATTTTCTTACCAGTTTTTTGATGATCAATAACTTAGAAGTATTTTCAAAAGTTGTTTTAATTGTACACTGTTTGCTAAAAATCAGTGCTACTTCCACTCAAAACTAAGAAGTCTTTCTAATACCAATATCTAAGCTTTGAGAACTTAAGATTGTATCAGCCAAACCAATGCTCCCAAATAAGAGGTACTATCACAAAAAACAGTACCTTACGTCACCAGTCTTACATTTAATAATAGTAATTAAAAAAAAAACAGTGCTTTAGTTATAACTTATTCCATCTTTTAAATTATTTAGAAATAATGAAAGCGTAACATGCTAATTAGACCAGACAGCCAAACGACCTTCCGGATGTCCTTCCAGACGAAGCCAGGGCTGCGAGGGCCAAGGCAAGCCGCCACAGTTGCAAGGGCCGAGCCACTTGCATGAATTTCATGCATCGGACCTCTAGTTTAGAAATAAATACCAATAAGCACATTAAATCTATACTAATAAAAGGGTAATATGCTAATTAGGGTGGACGTCTTCCAGACAAAGCCACAGCAGCTGCCAGAGGCTCAGGCAAGCCGAGAATGGCGGCTGCCGCTGCCAGGGCCAGCCCGAGGCTCAGGCAGGCCAAGGATGGTGGCTGCCGCTGCCAGGGCCCAAGGCTCAGGCAACAAGGGCCGGGCCAAGGCTCAGGCAGTCGCAAGGGCCGGCAGTGGCAGCAACAGAGGCATGATGGGGGCATCACCTTCCCCTGATCGGTCGGTTGCCTCCCACAGAGGGAGGCCAGACTGCGTCAGCAGGACATCCCCTGAGGGCTCCCGTACTATGAGAGGGAGCAGGCCAGGCTGAGGGACCCCCCCGCAGTGCACGAATTTTCATGCACCGGGCCTCTAGTGTTTTTATAAGAAGCCTTCCTCTTTGGAACAATCTTTAAATAAATTTCTAAAAACTTAAAACTGCATTTTTCAAAAATAAAGCTTTTGCACTGTTTAAGTTTCTGTGGGGGGAAAAAAATCTCAATATCCAAAATGTTAAAATACACTGCTCATTGTTGTAAAATGTCATCATCAGAGCAAAACAATGAAGACTAGCCCTAAAATATGATGCTGCAGATTTGGTAAACTTACCAAAGGTTGCTTACAAATATGTAAAAAGGATACAACTTTAAGAATAAAGTTACTTGTTAAAAATGCACTCTTAAAATCCTCTTTAATAAAATATTGAAAATAAACTACTAAAACTAATTCCCTTTGTGAATTTCCACATTTATTCTGATTTTAAATGTATTATATGCATAAGCCCTTACAGAAAATAAACGAAAGCTTTAATGGGAAAATCTGACCTGAAATATTTATTTTTGAAAGCAGCTGATCGTCTCAGATGTATATACAACAAATCTGTGTCAAATTCCCCTCATGGAAATTTGCAAAATGTTGTGCCCTCAAGTTACAAGGTGTTCATAAAATCCATATAAAGTATGAACTGTTAATAATTTTCCCCTTAAATATGATATATAAATATGAGAGAGAATTTACTCAGGGTTTAAATAAAAGTGCTAAAGACCCATTTGTTGTCATTTCTTTTATTATCTAGAAAGTAACACGTATTGTACCGATTAGCTTCAATTTCTCCAATTTCTATTTTTTTTGGTGATATGCTAGGATAACAAAAGGGATCGTCTGTCACTGAAACACAACTGTAAATGTATTCTGGGCACTTCGAATTGTACCACGCTTTATATCCAAAATAATCACAAATATGCTGACAGCTCTCATTCCATAATTTAAAATGCTAAAGTTTTAGCAAAGCCCCTGTCTGTCCCACATTTCAAATCATTTTTATCCTACAGAAGATAAATATATTCTAATTTTATGTAGCTTAACACTCATGACCGTTTATCACTGTTTCTCAAAGTGAAGCTCATAAAAAAAAAACACTGCTGTCAAATACATGATTTTAGATCTTCTTATAAGGCTAATTAAAAAAATTTAACAAACAAAAATCTTTATTCAATAACAGGAAGTGTAATAAAGGGGTATGGCAAAACTCCTAGAAATAATATGCAACTGAATGAAGTTTAAGAATATATAAACAATGCTAAAAACCTGCAGCTAGGTTCTGCCCATCTTACTCACCTCCCTTGTCAGAGAGGCAGAATTATGGAGATCTCTGACTCAGCCTTCACACATTTGAAAACAATGATGTAAAAAATGCAAGCGCATGGGCAGGTTGTTGCTGCTGTTTAACCATTAGAATCTTATCGGAAACATTAGGGGTAAGTATTATGCGGAGAGGAAGCTATCAGCCTACTTACAGATTACACTTTGGAGTTACTGGGCCACAGTCACACATACCTGCTTTTCCATATTCAGAAGCAGCACTGTCATAATCTGGCTTCCACTTTAATAAACCAGTTTTCAGGCTAAAATGAAGGAAAGGCATATATCTTAGAAGTTACCAAACACATTTATAAGTCAGAACTCTGCTTGTAATGACTTCACAGGTCATTAAAAAATAGGGGGAGGAGCCAGCAGGTAACAAGTCCCCATTTAGACCATCTCCATCCAACTGATTTATAATTTATTACAACCTCACCATTTCCCTTCTCACTACCATAGACATGGTTTCCCTCCTTTTGAAATACCTGCATAACTCCAACTATAGCAGACTCTCAGTGCATGGTCCCTACGCCAGCTGGAAATGTTCTAGAAAAGTAAATTATTGAGCCCCATACCAGACCCATGGAACCAAAAGCTCTGGAAGTGCAGCAAAAACCCAGGGCGTAACAAGCCCTGAGGCACACTAAAGCTTGAAGCCCGCTAAAGCACAGCATCACGTAAACGCTCGGAGTTGTGTGACTGAAGCTCAGGAGAGGACAGAGAAATTAAATGAGAACGCTACATGCTACACCCAGGGTCCAGTTTGGATGCCCTAGGAGGCCTTAGGGAGAGGGCAGAATACAAACATTCAGGCGAACAACAGAGGGAGTCACCAGTGAACAGGAAGAACCAGAAAGACAGGGATGTTATGAAAACCAGAGATGCTGCTTTCAAGGATCACCAATGGCTTCTCAGATGCTAAACCAAAGGACCATCAATTCTGAGTCTTTACCGTACTTGCCGTTTCTGCAATATGTTATTTTCTTGCTTTAATTTAAAATAATTTCATATTTCCAGTTTAAATTAACTTAGTGACTATCAAGCTTGGGTGTGCATAAGAGTTGCTAAATAAACACCATCTTAGCTTCTACATTCCAATTCAATTAGCTTTTATATCACAATGTTAGCTTCAAACCTTACCTGAGCGATGGGGAATCCCCTTGGACTCTCCCTCAGAAGTACACCTTCATTCTGTGACAGCTGTGTGAACTGCCCAGAGACCCTGACTTTAAAAAAACATTTTTCTGCCAATTAAATCTATATATATAAAAGCCTAATATGCGAATTGTCCCCACAGGAGTTCGACCAGGAGACCGATCGCTTGCTATGACATGTGCTGACCACCAGGGGGTGGCGCGGAACGAAGGAAGGCCCCAGCCTGTAGCCAACAGCTGCGGAGGGAGGCCCCAGCCAGCCTAGGGACTGTACCTGTGCATGAATTTCATGCACTGGGCCTCTAGTTTATTTAATATTTGTATTTGTGTATATACCGGTACTCGTATAAGATGCAAATTTGTAATGCAATTTTTAAAGCTTACCAAGAATATCTTTGCTCAGAAAAATTCTTAAGTTGCAGCCCACCACTCTAACCCACAAAATTAAGGAAGGATGCAATAAAACAAAAATGTATTCCTCCATCCCACTCCAAAGCACTCATTATATTCTGTGTATCACCAAAATTTTAAAAAATTCCATCAAAAACAAGGTATAATCATTCAATTGTCTAATGGGCTACATATGAAAGAGCTAGAGATTAAAAATATAGTAAATCATCCCCACTCAACTAAGCCTCTCTAATTTAGACGGGAGAAGGCACTCTGGTTAATTTAGTTTAATGGCTATATCTAAGTTTTTACTACTTCTGTCAAAAAATTTGACACAGAAATTCTGTTGAGGCCAACAGTTTAATCAATGTTCAGAGGACCAAACCCCACAAAATGATAATTACAAAACTATTTGGCAACATTGACCCAGATTATCATTAGAAGACAGAAATATCAAATCGTCTCTCCTAAATTCCAGGCCCATATTTTCCGCCATCTACTGAGCCTCAAACAGAACACATTCAAGCCTCAATCCAACACCTCCCTGCCCATTCACCTCTGTGCCCTGCATTGGCTGAAGGTCTCTCCACCACTCAGCTCCCAAGTTAGACACATAGGGGCCAAGCCTTTCCTTCCACATCCAGTCAAGTCACTGAAGCTTTTCGATTCTGTCTACGGAAGTCACCCAATCCTGCCCCTTGTACTGTTGTAATTCAGGCCCTGACCATGACAGCCTGCTAACCTGTAACCGGGAAGGCACTGTCACCCTGCCCTCCTCATCCATTTCTCCCACCCTGGGGAGAGCAACCTTTCCTCACTGGGCATCTCAACTGAAGCTACTGTATCCTTCTAAACTCTTCTGTTTACTTGTCTGCTCTTCTGTGAATTCTAAGCTCTTAAGGAAAAGACCTTTTTTTTTAACCTCAATAACCCCAGCAGCCAGTGCACAGGTACATGGTGATAATTTGCAAATGTCTGCTTACCAATTATGCCAGTGTTCTCACTCTCCGCTCCTCCCAGGCCTTCTCCACATTACCACATTTCTTTTGCCTAAACGAAATCTAACCGGGTCCCACTGGTTTCCTGATCCTTAGAAAAGCTAAGGTTCAGACCATCAGAGCAGAGCCGCGGCCCCTTCACGGTCTGGCCCCAACTCTCCTCTCCAGCTCACGCCCTGGCCCTGCAACTACTCTGCGTTCGCGGCTCCCAGCATGTTGGCAGGCCTGCGCTCACCCTACATCCTGGGCCTAGATTCTCCCACAAGGTTTCCCCTCCTCCGAAAATTTCCTTTGTCAGGCCCTGCTCAGAAGTCACCTTTGTTAATAGGTTCCTACATTTCCCCAGGACAGAATACACTTCTCCCCCCCCACACGATCCTTATTACACACACTATTGATACTTCTGTGTTTGCTCTCAGTAGAAAGAAAGGTGGCTGTGGGCACGTGCACCAAGGGCCCCAGTGCCGCCCACACCCTGCCTGCAAGTAACAGAAAGAGCTGGCGGCTCCCACCCACCCACCGGCAGAGAACCTACCAGCCACCTTCCCCTGGTGCCTGGTGCAGCCCTGGGGAAGGTATTAGGAGTCTCGTTTCCTCTCCTGTAAAATGAGCATCTCCATCTGGAGGTGTGGAGGTGCCAGATTAGGTGTGTGAAGCATCTCACACAGAGCACAATGCAGACTTTTCATTATCTCGAACTGCCAGATACAACTTCGTTGGGTAACACAACCGAGAAGGAGGGGAGTGTCAAAAGGAGTAGACAGAGTAATTCCGTTCTGCAAATGCCGGCCCAACAGACATAAACAGACTAAGGAGGCGCAGTTCTTGCTCCCAGGACGGGTACACCAGAACATGACAAGGGATCCCCGGGTCAGTTTCAGGGTACATCTGCAGCCCACTCCCCGATACAGGGCAGGCTTTTCGCGCAGGAGCTCGGGGCGATCCGATCTCCCCGGGACAGCTTGGGTGTCACCCGGAGAGGGAGGAGAGGCGCGATGCTGCCCTCGCGAAGGCGCAGGCCGGGGGTGCTGCGAATCAGGCTGCAATGCGCTGGGCGGCCCCGCCACCGGGTACCCCCAGCCCAAAGTGCCGAGGGTCAGCTCCCTGCTAGCAAAATCAGCGGAGCCTCCCGCCCAACGACCCCAGGAGGGGCGCGTGGGTCACTTCCGGCGGGGCATGGGGGGCAACTATGCTTCCGGCCCCGCAGCGGCCCGCGCTTGGGCCCCTCGCAGGTCGTCGCCAACACCCCCACTCTCACTGCCTCGCTCCTCCTTCCAACCCCGGGTGCTAAGACCGGGCCAGAGAGGGGCACGACCCCAGGGCCACACCGAGGCCCAAATCAGGGTTCCTCACTCACTATTTCTCGGCTTTGGCGATGTGCTCCAGCCCCTCATTTATCTTCTGAGCTGCCATCTCCAGGACCCCGCGGCTGACGTAGAAGGAAAAAGCCCAGGTTGGTAGGCGTGGGAGCGCCGAGTAGGAAGCCAGGACAGCAGGACACCTCTCGGCTACAGAGGCCGGCAGGGCTCAAACCTAGTGAGGCGGGGCGGGGACGCCAGCCGCCCAGGCGCAGGGCGCAGACACTGCGCAGGCGCGGAGCGCAGGGGCGTGTCAGACCCGTGAGCTCCCGGGCCCGGGCGGTGTGGGACAACTAAAAGGGGTTCGCTCATTCATTCCTTTATTCATTCAACAAATATGTATTGAACAATTCAAATGTGCCAGGTACTGCTCTAAGCACCGGAAAAGCAGCAGGGTGTACAACAGAGGAGACACCGCCGCCCTCATGGAGCCTTGCCTTCCCATGCAGGTAAAAATGCGTTGGTGGTATCACTTACTACATTTGTGCCTTAGCTAGAAGGATTCATTGTTTTCAGTTTGCCTTTGGAGCGCCAACTATGTCAGTCAGTAAGCAAACTGTTATTGCTCATTACTGTCAATCACTCGGCCGATACAAACTACCTAGTAATACAGTTGGTTCAACTCATAATTCATGGTGATTTCCATATCCACATAGATGAGTCCTGCAATGTCTGTGCAGCGTCTCAGGTTCTAACCCAACAGGCTCAGCCGCCATTCCCAGGATTATAACCTTGACCTTGCTACTTACCCAATAACTGTCCTGCAGAGTATCAATTCCAAGCAGCCCACTTGACCTTCTGCTGTCATTCCAACTCACTTTCCTAGTGCCAATCGTTCTTCACCTTCAACAGAACCGTTCCTCTTCCGCATGATATCATTTACTTGTTTTATTACATTTGTTTTTGTTTATTGTCTGGCTCTCCCCGTGGGTTTAAGCTCCACAAGGTCAGGTGTTTGGGGATGTTTTGTTTGCTGGTGTTTAGAACTGTCTCACATGTAAACAGGCACATCATGCAAATGTGTGGTTTTAACTGATGACTTGTTCCCGTACCTGCAACTGCAGTGCCTGTTTATGATACGCTGATGGCACCTCCTTCCGGCCTTGTCTGATGGCTCGTCGTGTCTGCCCGGCAATAACCCGCCCTGTCATGGGGGAACAGAAGGATGAGTGAGAATGTTCAGAGGCTTTTTCCTAGGGGGCCTTGATGGGATGCTTCTTCAAAGCGATTTCTCTAGCTTGTCAGCTGCTCCTATTTGCTGGTCTTTCTCCACGGTTCCCTGAGTCTCTCCTCCTTTAACCTTTCACCAAATGGTCGTTTAAACAGTCTTCATATTTTCAATAGAATTTCAAACACGGAGCAAGAAAGAAAGCATGTGAAAATGAAGAAAGACCAGCAGGGCTGCACCACACTTGCCAGTCCTCTTCCCTCTCCGCACAGGACAACAAAGACTATAGCATCACCTAAACCGAAGCAGAGAGTTCAAGGTAGCCACAGTGCCACGGTCGCCTCTGCTTCAGCAGGGAGGAGTGGGAGGATGATGGTGCTGGGAGCAGACCCAGCACTGCTCAACTCGCTGACCCTCCAGGCTCCTGATGGAGGCCAGTGGCTAAGACCCAGATCCTGGGTTCCCTGGCAATTGTAAGACAAACAACTCGTGAGAACTAGCATTTGTCAGAAACTCTGCTAAGTGGATTGTGTGGGCCACCTACGAAGCACTGTTATTCCATTTCACATATGAGGACACTGAGGCTCAGAGAAGCTAAGCAACTTGCCAAAATCTCACAACCCATACATGGGAAGGCAGGACTTGAACCCAGAACTATTCGATTCCAAATCTACCCTTGAGCCACTTAAATGGACAGAGAAATGATCTCTGTTTTGTAGCAGTTTAATAACAACTCACATAACGTCTCTGCTTAGCTGCATGGACCAATGATAGATTTTCAAGTATTTTTATAGAAAAAAATATATCACAGTGCACTTTACTATGCACCGTGCACTGTTATTGTTTTTGAAATTTCACTAATAATTGAAAAACTAGACTTGGGAGTTTATTAGGTATGACTGAAATAAGTTAACAATTAACTGAGAAAGACACATCCCTAACAGATGTAATAAGCATATTGCACTGATAGCATTCGTTAGTCTTAGCCTGTGGTTTTGTAGTTCTCTCTACTAAACACACGGTGGCACTAGATGCACATGCTATTACAGACACAAGCCCTCAAACAGAAGTGATTGCTACTTTGGATTATAGAGTCAGATTCTGGAAGCCTTTGCCTTCATAACTGAATTTTCCACATAAAAGTGATACCTCTCATTATTTTGCACACAAAGGTAAGCATCGTTGCCCAAAATCTGGAAAGATCTGCTCATCAATATATTTAGTAACATGTTTCCTTTACATCCATTTTAACCAACACGATTGTTTTGATGTAATTACTTTTAAGAAGATAGTAGATATAGAACTTACTCTGCCAGTTACCTTCAAGTGAAAGTTGAAACCCATGTACTGAACTGGCTTAGTAGTGTCCTAGTGTTTATTTTATTAGACAACTTACAGATAAATGTTCTTTTAAAAACTGTATCCTACAGATATACCTGTAAAAAGGACGTTAGTCTTAAATTGTAATCATTTAACTTTATTGCCAGGGGAATATATTCAGGTGCTTGCATTTTGTGTAAATATAAATGATGAAAATTTGAAATAATGCAACATAAAATATTAATAATGCCTGACTTCATCAACAAAATTTTTATAATGACATGCATTTTCACATTAAAAATTCCTCAATTAATGCACAATTTGCAACTGTCAGGAGTTAAGACTTGTGAGTTAGGCTTATACTATTTACTCTTTAGACATTCATTCAACAAATACTCATGGAGTGGCTTCTCCATAGCAGACACTATTCCAGGCTCAGACTACAGCCATGAACAGAACAGACAGAAATCCTGCCTGGTGCTCACACAGCTCACACAGCTCACACAGCTCACATGCAAGGGCAGGGAGGGTGCGGGTGGGCATGAGAGACAAGCAGGAAATAAGTCAGCGTAAATGGAGTGCGAGGTAGTATCCAGGCTTCAGGGAAAGTAAGGCAGGAAGAGGTGCCTGTGTGAGGGTGGGCAGTTACCTCCCTGGGTAGGTGACAACTAGATGAAGAGCTGCAGAAGTGATGGCCTGGGCCATGGGCCATCTGGACAAGGAGCGTTGCTGATAAGCATCTGTAGGTGAGGCAGAGTGTGCCTGGCCTATTTTAGAGAGCGCACTGGGGCCATGAGGACACAGTGGAGTGACCCCTTAGCAAGTGAGCCAACACACATCGTTTTTCAAGACAAGATGCAGGCAAAGTGTGGGCTGTGTTTGAAAATCTTCAGGAACACGTCTCTTACTCAAGTGCAACTTCCTTCTACTTGTGTGCTTAGAAATGAGCACATATTAATAAAGAAGCTAAGAAAGTGCTCACAGTCTATGATATGGACGTTACTCAAACATGAAAGTGTCAAGCCCACAAAATACACAAGGATTGCAAAGCAGCTACAGGAGACTTTGTGTGAAGACTCTCATGTAGCTGAGGAGATAGAATAGCAACACTATGGCAACACGCATGCTAGAAGAGAGGGATAAAAGATCCAGGGAGCAACTGTGATCACCGTAATCCAGTGGAGCCTCTGAAATCCCCGATGAAACCCTACAGCGGCCCCACGCCCCGCCGCTCTGCCCTGCCTTTCCCCTTCCCGCCACTGCGCGGAGCTCTTGGCCCACAGCTATGCCAGGGAGGGCTTCATTCAGAACTGCAGTCTCCAAGAAGGAAGGATTTAGTGCTGCTCACATTTGAGAAGCGACTTTCTAGATTTGGAAAAAGGGAGAAAAAAAAACAACCCTCTTCTCCTCAGAACCCAAAAAAATCAGAGATGAAAGGAGACAGTTTTAGCCTGGAAAATAAGAAAATAAACAAGTGCTTGAAATGGGTTTTTCTTGTTTAAATTTGTTTTTGCAATAGGTTTTTCTTCCTTGAAAAACAAAATACTAAAATAGCAAGTTATGTTTTCATTTATAACTCCTTCTTAAGAGGAAACCTAATAATATGGGGTTCCCATTGGACTCGGCTTATTTCATAATATAAATATAATTGTATCCTCTGGGGGAAGAAACCTACACTGAGCCAGGTATTTCTCTTTTAAGTTGGTGGTTTTATTCATTTGTGTTTTTTTCCCTTCCTTTACCTTGAACAACCTCTCAAGCTGTAGGCTCCAGAGCTGTGCCTCGCACTGGGCCTCACCAGCTAGTGAAACGCAGCATGAAGAGGCGGTAGCAAAGTGATTTGCTATGTTTTATTCTAAGTCCTGTCAGAAAAGCAGTTTGCCCCTCACTAAGTTTTATCTTATTTATACCAAGTGTTCACTCACATGTTGGGAGAGCAGGGCTGAGTGCTGAAAAGTGAAAAGACCTATAGTTACTTACACTTTCCAACCTCAGCTGTGCTTCTCGTTTTCCTTTCTTATCACCTGAGGATAGTTTTCCATTGATTTTTAGAGAGAGTGAAAAGGAGGAGGAGAGACACACAGAGAGAGATTAACATCCATGTGAGAAGACACATCCATTGGTTGCCTCCCACAAGCTCCCCAACCTGGCTGGATTGGAACCTGCAATGCAGGTATGTGCCCTTGACCAGAATCGAACCCACTACCCTTCAGTCTGTGAGCCAAATCGCCTAGGGCTCAGCTGTGTTTCTTAGAGGAAGAAACAGTGTCTTCAATTACTTGGCCTCAGTTTCTTCTTCTATAAAATAGGGGTAATAATGAGGTGAATTAAAAATGGCAGTTAAATCTCTGCCATTAAGAGGTGGAGGGCATGTCCCCTCCCTTGAACATGCCCCAGGGGGCAGTTTCTGTGACTACTTCGGCTGATAGAACATAGAGGAAGTGATGTTGTTCCAGGGCCTAGGCCCCAGAGCAAGGCAGCTCCCACTTCCTGTCACTCTTGGAGCCCTGAACCCTGAAGCTGCCATGATGCGAGGAAGCCTAAGCTGCCAGGAGGTCTGTGTGTGGAGGGGGAGATGCCCAGCAGCCCCAGCCCCTCCAGCCGCAGC